TCGTTCTCTCTTCACCTTTTCATAAGCCTGCTGAACAACAGTTGCAGCTTGAGAGAAGTGAGATGTAGTACCTGATCCAGAGGAGAATGGAGTCCACTGGTAGTTTATTCCCCCATTTGAAAATGAACTACTGGCATTACTAGATTTCATTGTATTTTTGCCAGAAGCTTGTCGATTGGACTTTTTTGATTGCTGGGAAAAGTTCGCTTGTGCACTTAATTTAAAGCGATTTGATGAGGGGGGAGCTTTTTCAGTAGCTATAAACGGCTCATGACAATTGGGACAGAGTAGATTATGATCCAGATAAATCCTAAGATACTCATACTGCATCCTGCACTGATGGCAGACAGTCCAGAAAGTCTTGGGTTGTTTTGACTTCTGAGATGAAACTGGAGAAGAATAATGGCCTGCTTGGGGAACACTCTTATTAGACTTTGCAGTTGCTTTGGTGGAAGTGTTGAATCCACTGGATTCAGACTTAGTATATGGAGCCTTAGCCGAACTTGAGGCCTTCCGAAAAATGTTAGTCTTTCTATTCTGGTCGTACGCTACTCTCTTCGTTTTGTCAGACAATGTACTCCATGCCATAGATATAAGTTTAAAAGCGCCATCAGCTCCAACTGACTTATTTTTGTCAGGGTGAAGGATCAAGGCCAATTTCCGGTACTGTTTACGTACCATGTCATCATCAGCTAGTGGGTTAGTGCCAAGTATCCCATACCAATCTTCTTCTCCGTTTACTTTGTTCTCCGACGAAATATAGACATCAAGAGTTGCTACCATTTGAGTAATGCCCTCAAGCTCAGGGTACAAATTCTTGGCCTTGAGTGCAAATTTTCTTGCCCCAACAAGATCCTTCTCGAAAAATTTGTTCTCAGCAATCTCCTTAGCTCTAGCTGCCTCACCCCTATTGCATTCCATATCCCGATTATCTTCTAATTGCTCAAACTTCTCTATAAATCTAACTGAGTGGTTGCATGTCACCTCTATGCCACAAGAAATTCAGTTACCAATCTGCAAACTTCTTCAGAAATGGATGATTGTTCCCGTCTCAGACAAGAATCTGCTCCCAAATCCTTTCCTCAAACACACAAGAAACCTTCCATAAAGAAGCCATCCTGAAGGTTAAATAAATCATAAAATTAATCCACTGATCTATACCGAGGAAAAACCATGCTATACCAGAAGAATAGAAAGAGAACATAAACAGACCTAAACATTAGAATCACTTAAGCGAATAAGATGTGATAACATCAAAGAGCAATCCTTTACCTAAATTAAGTGATGGGACAAAGAGATGCCCAATGCCCAACAACACAAACCTAAAGTAAGTAGGAAAGCTGAGGGATAACAGAATGAAGCTCACAAAAGAAAGCACCCAATCAAGAAACCATGTTTGATCATTAATTTCATTACATTTTCAAGTCAGAAATGGTCAACCTAGAGCCAACTCGGTCTGGATACCGAACAATTAACTAACCCAGAACAAATCCTGCAAAACGATACAGCGATGAACAGGTTACTGAGGCTTGTAAGAGCAAGCAATTGAACCATATGTGGAGAGCATGGGGCAAAAAATCCACTGCTCGTCTATTCTCTATACACAGTATAGAATTCCACAGCCTAAGCCAACTACTCGAACAGCAGTAGAAACAATGCAGCAAGTTCAAGGCAATGGACGTTCCCCTATCCAGCTAAGTAAGCAAAAAAAAGTAATATCAACATATTGCCCAAAAAAGGTCGCAAATTCCATGGTTTCTACTGCAATTAAGACACGTACCAAGGTTTGAACTTGAAGAGCAGGCCAACTCAGTAGCAAGCAAACCTTCGACCGAAAACAGTGCGACAAGAATGAGAGATCGAGGGAAAAGCAGCAACCCTGAAAGTGGAATCTCTGCCTGGGAACTGGATTTCAATACGGAAAACCCCAAATACCACAATCGAGCAACAAGAGCGCGAGGATCAGAGAGGGACGTGGGGTTGAGGGAATCTGGTGGCGAAGAAGAAGGGGGAAAGTGTTGAAGTGAAGGACAAGGTAAAAAAAAGGGGTGAAGGTCAAAAAAGCTTCTTTCTTTCCTTTTGTGCAGCGTACAGCGGTAGGTTTTTCTCTACCCGCAAAGAAAGTTAGAAACACAGAGAAAGGAGAGCCGTTCGCCCGAACCGGAAGACGAAAGGAGTGGCTCCGACCGCAAGCTGCAACTGCAAAAGGCCAAAAAGCCACACCTTTGAGTCTTTGACCTCTGTGCGAAGAAGAGGTTGGGTGCTAATGGTAAACCATCAACCAACCAAATACTTGCTAACCGGAATCCTAACCCTATATGTTTCTCCTTTTCCTTTTAGGGTTTGGAAAGATCGATTTTTCAAGCAATGTATAATCGAGGGTGGGCAACGGGACGGGTACCCATACCCGGGTATCCCGTTCCATTTCAAGAAAAAATTACATCTCATGTCTCAAATTAGTACGGGTTAATGAATACTTATTATTAGAGGTGGACACGTGGGTGGTTAATTCGCGGATTGATTTCGATCCACCTGTAAATAATCCGACCCGCAAGCAGTGGGTGATTGATGTGGGTGATTTTTTTTTTCCGAGTGATATCAATGGAGGATAAGAGTTAAACTTACAATTCTACCCAGGACCCCTAAAACACTCTAAAGAAGGCACCCCAAAAAATCAAAAGATTCTAGCTCTAGACGAGACAAAAACAGTGCTTTACGCGCCACTCTATGGGCAGCACTGTTGACGGATCTAGGTACCGCCCGAAACTCTATACAAACAGACAAAGAGCTTAAGATCTGATTACACTCTCGTAACGCCGGACCACCAATCGAGTCTTCTATGACGCCTTGACGGACTTGGTTGACGACCACTTCGAAATCACCTTCGACTATCACGCGGATCAAGGATCTTGAAGCTAAGATGGAGATAGCGTCTCTAAAGGCTAGAAGTTCTGCCAGGTAGGGATTGACTATTCCTTGATGTTGCAGCCCGAACGCCAACACCACATGCCCGTCTGACCCACGGATAACAAGCCCAGACGAACACCCGGTGGCACAAACAGCAGCGTCGAAATGGATCTTCAAAAAGTCTTCTGCGGAGGGACAGGATGGTTTGGGAGTAGAGAGTTGCGGTGTGGAGGAGGAAGGAGAAGATTAGAGACTTCAAGGACCAGGGTGTAGAACTTTCTGGCTAGGGAACAGACATGAGGTTGGTAAAATTCGAAGGTCACTTTATTTCTAGACTTCTAGATTCCACAAAGTAAGCAGACGCATTGGAGAATGTGGAATGGGGAGGTCTCAGAGACCATGAAATGTCGCCACCATAGACTCAAGTTAACAGTCTGGGCGGTCTCAATAAAGTTGCTCAATCCCACTAGAGTCCACAATCTGGTGGCTAGGGGGCATCTGAAGAATAAATGTTCATTGCTTTCTCGATGTCTCCAGCAGACAGGGCATCGGTTAAGGCAGTTTACTCCACATGGTTGAAGGGCCGCCACTGTGGGAAGATGACTTAGAGGCATTGCCATATAAAAATTTGAGCTTAGGCGGGACTTGGATATTCCAAGTCTTTTTCCAAATAGGAGGGTCGATGATATGTACTAACAGTTTTCGGCTTGAAGCCAATGCTATTTCCAAGGCTAAGTGATAACCCGATTTGACTGTGTATTTTCCATTCTTGGAGTAGTGCCACACTCTAATATCTTGTTGTGAGTAACGAGGAAGAGGAATTCTCCTAATGAGATCAACAGAATGAGGCCAAAGCAAGTCTGGAGTTTTGGAATGTCTCATTCCCCTTGGCCTTCTCTTATGAAATAAGATACTATAGGTGATCCATTTTGAATATGACGCCGGGTACTCGGGATTAAGGGTTTATCCCCCGGAACCCAGTTATCAATGAATGCCCGAGTTCTTTGCCCATTGCCTATTTGCCATCTTAGTCTCTGTAGGAGAAGATCTCTTCCAAAGAGTAGACTTCTCCATCCCCGCGAAGGGTTTGATCCGATTTATGCTTCCAACACCGAGCATTGAGTAAAGTATCGGCCCTTATAAATTTGGGAGAGAAGTGAATTTGGGTTGGTCCATATTCTCCAACATTGTTTAGCTAGCAACGCTTGATTGATGGCTCTGAAGTCTCTGAACCCAAGACCTCCATGGAATTTGCTGGGAGCTAGACTTTTCCAAGACAACCAGTGGATTGGGTGTTCTGAATTGTGTGTCGTACCCCACCAAAGCTTTGCGACATGATTGTTTAAACGTCTATAATTTTCCTTGGGGAGTTTGAAGCATGACATTCCTAGTACTGGTACATTAGTGGTCGATGTTCTAATAAGAATGTCTTTCCCAGCTTTCGATAGGGATCGCTGCTTCCACCCTTGTAACTTCTTAATAAGTTTTTCCTCCATGAAAAGGAATGTCTCCCTTTTTTTAGATAAGATGGCTGGTAAACCTAAATACGAATCATGTTCTCCTATGGTTCCAACACCCAATTGAGCACCCATAATTTGAGCTTGGATAGGGTCAGTATTGTGACTAAAAAGGACGACCGATTTATTTAAATTTATTCGTTGACCGCTCAACTCCTCGTAAGCTTGCAGTAGCGAAAGGAGAGTCGTACAATACTCCGGCGAGGCGGCCAAGAATAGGTATGAGTCATCGGCGAAGAATAGGTGGGAAATTACCGGACAACTATGGCGAATTCTAACTCCTTCAAGGTATCCTACAGGGGTAGCTTTCCTTATCATACTAGAGAATCCTCCACCAAACCATGAATCTACCAATCCATTTGATTCAATTCATTTTATCCATGGATCTACTAATCCAATCCACCAATACATTGGTTCAATCCATTTGCCACCTATACTTGTGATACACAATTCCTCCTTGAAAAGCCTCAAGAACTCTATATTTCATAGATACAACCACACAAGCCACATAAACTAAATATAATAAAAATGATGTATTTATCTCTGCTATGTCATTTCTACCCATGTTTGGACAGTTCATCGCTTCTGGAAATCCAGAAACTTAATGCCATAAGCAAAGACAAACAGGAAAAGGAGCACAAACCCAATGTGGGCAGCTGCAACAGCTCCAAGGAAGTCATATTCAAATCCAAACGACTGTTTCAAGAATTGCTTCACAGGCATATTGCCTTGCCCGGCTACTTCCACTAGACTGTCAACGTTTCCCAATTGGGAAGCAAACATGCCATAAATTGTCCAAGCCACTGGGGATGCCCAGTAGTACCATCTCCACCATATTGGGATATCCTGTCAGACAGAAACACAAAAAGCTTACTCCTAGAATGGCAGGCAAGCAGTGAGTGTTTAAGTTATGGTTTTGCTTGTTTGGGTTACCGTTCGAAGAATAAGGAAGCCGTTGAAGAGATTCCATGTGGTGAAGAAGAACGTCATGGCGATGGCGGCTATTTGGTAGCTAGGAGTGAGTGCAATAAGCATCATCCCGTAGAGATTGAAGTATAGGAAACACATGAATATGAAGAAATAGAACCACAAGAAGTTCCCCAGATGCCATGGGTAGCCAATCATAAGGAACAGTATCACACTATAGAAGAAGGTTTGGACTGCGATGTAGACTGCTTCAATGGAGACTTGGGCAACTGCATAAGCCACTTCTGAGTACATCCCTGCTGCTTTTTCCCTATACAAGATTGTCCTTTCGACCGAAACAATAGGCAACACTGCAGAACAAGAACATGCTCCAAGGAACATTATGGAGGAATAAGTAGCTCCAAGCAAGTTGAATAGGTCTTGTTGTGTTTGCCTAATTAATCACAATTAAAACATAAAATAAGAGGTTATGAATTTTACTAATGAAGATGTTCACGGTGATTCTGAGCTAAGTATTTTTCATGCTTACGTCTTTTGTCCCTTCTTCCAGAAGATAAGTCCAAAGAGAACACCTACAACTATTGTGAGGAATAATCTTGTAACATTGTACTCTGGATTCTGCCAGTAAGATCGATGCAGTTTTATGAAGCAAGCTGTGCATTGGGTTAAGAAATCCTGTGCAAATTGTGTAGGGAAATAAAGGTCACTTGACCCTGGTGTTGGAGTGCTTAGTGCTTCAATCAACTCCTGGTTCCTCCTGTAACCAAATGATGAGACTTTTTTAGTGAATGGAGAGGATAAGTGGGATTTAGGAAGAGAGTTGGTAAAGATCAGTAAAATTAATGCTCACTTGTATAGTTCAGAATATGAATAAATTTCAGCAAAGTCCACATTCAGTTGAGTTTCAATGGCAGCTGAGCTAATGTCAAGCATCCATGTAGCAGGATTTGTGCCTTCTTGGATATTGGGAACCCCCTGGATGTTCTAATAATATAACAATTCAGTTTATTAAATGAATTTGGATCGCTCATTGTTTATCTTCCATGCAGTTTGAATCAACAGTGAAAGGTAAGGTAATGTTGAACTCACCTCGAAATATTCTACCATCTTGTGAGAATGGTGTCCAAGGGTGCCTGCATATATAACTTGTCCACCTCTCTTCATCAACAGCAACTGCAAAAAAAGTGTAAAGTGAAGAGTTTAACCAACGCATCCCATCTTCGAGAAAGATGATGCAGTTGGCAAGCTAATACGAATGCATTCCACGACTATATAGAAAATGCATAATATATACCTCATCAAAAGATTCAAAGATGTCAATGCTTGGTTGATGTATGGTGCAGACAACAGTTCTTCCTGTATCCACTGTGTTTCTAACGGTTCGCATGACAATTGCAGCTGCTCGAGCATCAAGACCAGATGTTGGCTCGTCCATAAAGATTATTGAAGGATTTGCAACCAGCTCAACGGCTATGGTCAATCTCTTGCGCTGCTCAGTTGACAAACCATTCACTCCAGGGAGTCCTACTATTGAGTTCCTCAAGAGGACTAGCTCAACCAACTCCATAACTTCCTCAATGAACATCTACACCAAGTATGAAATGATGTCAGTATATTTAGAAACAACAGTCTCTCCAGAAAATGATTTGAGTTAGGAACAAGTTTTATAAGATCAAGCAATACTACCATCCTATCTTTCTTATTGACACTTTTGGGAAGACGCAACCATGCTGAGTGCAGAAGGGACTCATAAACGGTAATCCGAGGGCTATGGATATCATTTTGTTCACAGTATCCACTTATTCTAGCAAATGTCATTTGATTCTTAGGATAACCAGAAATGTTGATGATTCCTTCAGTGTACCCTCCAGTTTTCCTGCCCGCTAAAACATCCATCAAAGTGGTCTTTCCTGCACCACTAACCCCAACTAATGCTGTCAAAACTCCTGGCCTAAAAGTTCCACTAACATCATGTAGCAGTTGCAGTCTTTCCTCTTCTACTCCTTGAGACTTCATTTCCTAGTTAGTGAATCATAACAAAAACTTTAGCAGAGAGACACTTCCATTTGGACTTAGATAGTTTTTGAAAAGGAAAGACGAGTAAAGTCAGGAATGTTTCCTTACCGCAGGCATATCAACATAGTAGTTCACATTCTTAAATACCAATGACAAAGGTTGGAAGGGTAATATCATTCCCTTTCTTCTAGACACTTCATTAGGGCCTAAAAACAAGTGTTTATATCTTTGTTAAGTTTAAACATACATGAAGTAAAACTACCACAAGGTGCATAACATGATGAATATGAGTTTAACAATAAAAACTCCCACCAACATACCTTTCATCGGTGTACAAGACGTCTCCAAGGATATTTCAATGGAACTTGAGTTCAGTTTTGCAGTCTTGGATGATTTTTTATTTTGATTATCATCCAAGATTATGGATTTAGAATCTTCCAAAGCTGAAAGCACAGAGTTCCAAACATCTAGTGAAATATATTCAAGACTCGAAGTAACAATTACTAATGGAATGAGAAGCGATTGGTGGCTTACGGTTCAAGTATGTTAAGGCGAGAACAAAACATAGGTTATAAACCACAGAAAAGCCTATGAGTGCCCCAATTGATATCCAGTACCACTTGTTCTCTACAAACATGCCTCTCATTTTGAGAAGCGCCTTTCCAACTGTTTCCTCTAGAATCCTATGGTCAGGATTGGGCTGCAACAAGGAAAACCGCATGAACAATGAAGGACCAAAAGAATAGAACTTATAGAATATAAACAATGTTTCTATAATCAAATTCAAAGTTTATCTTCAAAGGAGGATCTTACATCACTCCATCTTTCGTCGAGAAATTCGTTTATAACGATAGCATTCTGCCCGTACATCATTGGGGAAATATAGTAGCCCCATATCAGCCATGGTTGGATGTCATCTGCAAGCAAAAACGAAATCATTAATGTCATGTATTATCGTTATATTATGAAGCTGATTACAATTAGTGAGCTTCATCAATAGATATAAAATAGACTAGAGAAATAACAACCTTTGGCAATTATGAATCCTCCAAGGATGAACACAACTAGCAACGTGAACATACCAATGGCTGGTGCTACGATTTTCGATCTTGCTACTGCCCCAATGGAGCGGAATAAACCTTGAGCCATCTGATTTATACAAACGAATGCAAGAAACTGCTTAAAAAATCTATCAGCCGATGGAGCAAACCCAATAGTGTAATAAGTCAAGGCTATCCATATGAATGACTCTCCAAACGAGATCGGAATACGAAGCACCCAGATTGGCAAGGCAAATGCCCATGCTGGGTACAATAAGGAATCCCTCTGCTTGTAAAATGCAGGAAGCCTATGTGTGGTCAAGGTCAGTTCAGCAACTCCATTGAACATAATGTTGATCAGGCAATAAAACAAAGCACCGTAGAACTTGTTCCCGTCCCCTAGGTGACCAGCCTTCATCTCAGTCCTGAAGAACACGGTCATGCAAATTATTGACATGATGGTTAGTTGCGCCGTCTTGAAGATATAAAGAAAAGAATTTCTCTTCATTAACAACAACTCCCTCTGAAAGCACGCCTTCAGGAGATTTTTGTTGGAGATTCCGTATCTCTCTTTCACCAATGCAGCAGGATGAACACTAGATTTGTCATAAGGCATTGCAAGCTCATCAGCAAGCTCCTTTCCTATCGAGAACGAGTTGAAGAATGTCACAAAATCAGGTACTGAGATGTATCGATAAGGTTCATCAATTCTGGACCAGTACTGTGCTTGATCGTTCTTGGAAGTAACCTCTTGCAAGAAGTCTGCAACTCCTTTCCTTTCAGGGCACTTGAAACCAACATTTTCGAAGAATTCAAGAACGTTTTCCCTAGGACCTTGGTAAATAATCTGATTTTCCGAGACAAGGATGACGTCATCGAAAAGTTCATATGTCTCGGGTGCAGGCTGGAGCAGGGAGATGATCATGGTGACGTCCATGATATGGACCATTTGCTTCATAAACCTAACAATTTGGTAAGTTGTTGAACTATCCAACCCGGTTGAGATTTCGTCCATCAGATACACTTTAGTCGGTCCAACCAACATCTCCCCTGTGGTGACGCGCTTCTTTTGCCCACCCGATATGCCCCTTATCATATCATTACCGACAATTATGTCAGCGCAGATGTCCAGCCCAAGAAGCTGAAACAAAAGCAAACAACTCAATTTCTAATCTATTTAATTCCCAATACATATTATCGTTGCTTAAGATAATTTATATGTACCTTAAGGACATAATCTACCACGAGGTGATTTTTCTGTCCATAAATGGATGTGGCTTTCATGAATGCATCAACGTCTAGATCCGGCTTGATTCCCGCTTCTTTCTCCCTTCTGGATAGCTCAGCCAACAAATCGTACTTGGTCCCAACTCCCAAGCAGCGGCCAGAGAATTCCAAAGTCTCCCTGACAGTCATTTCTCCAATGTGACATTCCTGCTGGCTAATATAAGCACAGGTTCTCTGAGGCACGAACTCATGGAATTCATGTCCGCAGTATGTCACTCTTCCCGACACCTGTACGTAGAGCAATCGTCAGGGCTTCCCATCCAAGAAAGGTGGAAGGATGTTTTACCGAACTAAGTAAGGATACACAGATAGAGACCCTTAAATTCTTGTCCAGTTTCCCGGAGAGTGTCTTCAACAGAGTAGTTTTGCCTGATCCCGGAGGCCCCAACAGCAGAGTCATCCTAAAACCAGAAAAAAAAACCCAAATGAAGTATTCATCACAAGTTCGGGAAAAGTAACGAATTCTTAAAGTTGGAAAAAAAATATATACACTACCTCGATGGTTTTACAATTCCGCTTATATTATGAAGAATCCTCACCACCCTTTTCTTTGTTGGGAAAACTCGACACAACCCAAGAATCCCCTGTTATTTATTCAGCGATTGAGTTATAAACCGAGTTCAGAATCACCGGTTGACAGAGGAGGCAGAGGTGAATATAACTGCATACCTGAACAGTGTTCACCACGAAATTGAGCAGAGTGGGCAGAGCCCTGGTTCCGACGTACCCATCGCCTTCAACAGAAAGTCCCTCGAACCGAATCTCCACCGTCGGGATCTTAATCCCGACGACATCCGTCCGGTGTCGGATCCGACGCAACAGCTTCTCGTTATCCTCTTCCGCGACTTTGAGAAGACTTTCAATCAGTAGCTTCCTCTCTGTTCCGCCCAGCTTCCCTACGTCAATCTCCTGCAACCCAACTTCCCCTCCACCACCGCCGTCGCCGGCGGCATCCTTCAGGATCGCCTTCCGCAGCCTTTCGTAGGTGGGCAGGCGCTCAATTGCCGCCCACTTCAGCTCGTCCTCGTCGTCCTCCGTCGTGCTTCTCTGGAACTCGAATTCCCCTGCCGCATCCCGCAAACTCCCTCTGCTCCTCAACGAAGTCGACCCCATTGATCTGCTGCTCCCTAGCTTATCCGAAGCGATACCCGCCATGGCAAAATTGCAGCAGGGCTCGCTCTAGTTACTCTGTTAATTGCTCCAGCTATTCAGCACTTTTATATATATTCTGCGGAACAGGGGATTCAGGCTCCGAGCGGCAGAGTTTTAACGCGTGCTCCGCACTGACTTGGTATAATGGTAAACAATCAGAGAGAGTCAAAGTTGTTCTTCGACGGTGTTGCAATTGTAGGCAATTTAAAACTCCATGGCCGGCATTACCCTGACTACCTGACAATCAGAAAGCTCTGTTTCCTTTCTTTCATTTTTTTTTTCAGAATGTACCAAGTTGCAGAAACAGAGCATGTACCGCTTAAGAACAAGCAATAATGGCCACAAATAGTAGCCTTGTGACTATGACATAAACCTCCTATGCTTGCTAAATTAAAGTTAACCCATTTCCTGCTTAATCTACAAAAAGAAGCAACAAGCCAAGCATAAGGGCAGTCAATTTCTCCTTCCAAACTTTTCGTTCTCATTTTGTCCTCTGTTTTCCCCCCTATTTTCATGAGAGGGGAGCTAAATCCTCTTCCACTTGTAGCTTGTAGGATGACACTACCAGTTTTCGTTGTGAGGTTTATTACAAAAGAGTAATAGTAGTAGTACAGTATATACAATAAGGTAAAAATCTGTACAAAAATTTCTCATCCGCAAAGGCCGTGGGGGGGCTTTCTTCTAAAAAAAGGTCCGTCTGAGCTCTCACTTAATCATCACCACCGTTACTGCTGCCCACATCAAACATCTCGGTGTTAGCAACTTCCGCTGAATCGAAGGAAGAAAGGGCCTCGGCAATTCTAAGTGCCATGGTGGCCTTGTAACACAGCAGACTAGCATTCTCCATCAGCAACTGGGCCCTGCGTCGCTTCTCGATCGCCAACTCAATGGACCTCTTCGCCGAGTTGTTAGCTTCCTCCAGCTTAAGCATGGCATTCCTTTCCTCCAGAGCATCATGCTCGACTGCCATGGCTGCTAGAAGACAGACACTCACCAATTTGAGCACTTGCACAGCTATATAGAGTACAGCCCATACGAGAGAGAGAGAGAGAGAGATACAGAACAATCGAAAAAAGCGTGTACAACAGATGGATATCGGAGAAGAAAATATCAGGTTATCAACTGAAGCTTTCCAGAATTGATTCCTAATAGAGAAGGGCGGAAACAGGGGAAAGCGCTACATTACAGGCTAACTGGCTTATCTTAACAACACAGATCTCTTTCCAGACTACTCTCATGCCTATGGAAACTCCTCTGGGACCTTCTTCAAACTTAACTAACAGCAAGTCAGCAACACCTACCTTGCAATAGACCCAGTTGCTTGCCTTTCCCACATTGACCACCCAGTCTTTTGAATGACCGTCTCTTGCGTAGGACAAGCTTTCCAACTACCGGAGGTTTCTTGACTTGGTGGATCTGAAAGAAAGAAAAGAGACATTCATTCTCATCAGAGAAGGAGAAATACAGAACTAGGGAAGTAAGCTAAGCAATTCCTAGACAAAAATGGCTGTGTATATGTCTCTACAAAATATATGTCGAACATGAAATCTTTACCTGGAAAACACGAAGTAACGGCACTCGCTTCTGCTTCCTCTTTTTCAACCAATAGCTATACACAGTTTGGGCTACCTCCTGCCCAGCCAAGTCAGCAACAAGGCTCAGAGCTGCTTTCTCATCAATCACCTCGTCAGAAGTGCAGTATGAAGCTTTCTCAAACACATCAATCATCAACTCAAATTTGTCCTCTGAAAGCAGCTGTGGGCGCCCAGCTGCCTTAACAGATTCAGGGCTCCATTCTTTTAGCCATCTCTCATCTTCAGAGTCCATATCATAGTTAGGACTCCTTTTCTCTAGCGCTCTGGCCACTTCATCAGTGGTCACAGTAATATATGCATCTGGCCTGGAGAATACACCGGAACAATTAGATTCATAGCCAGGCACTTCGCGAACTCCAGGAACAGGAATAGCTTTAACCGTTGTTGCTGTAGGTGGTACATTGAGATTTTCACATTCCTTATAAAGCTCCTTGAAGTTGGACCAATCCTGCCGACTAGGAAATTCTAGCTTCCAATTCTCATTCCCAGACCACAAGACATTGTGAGTTACTCGGTTAACAGAGCTAGTCTTCATGTATTTTTGAGGCAAGAAGGACAATTTAGTTTCACCATCCTTCTTCACTACAAGAACAGACTTTCTCGAATCAGAAGATTCAATAGCAATTGTAGCCCCTTTCACCTTGTAACATCTGTCGAATTCAATAACAAGCAGATCCGCAGAGCAGCCGGCCTTGTCTGTTGTGCAATTTTTCCCCTCAACTGCAGCAGAACTTGCTTCTTTTGGACATTCTGTCACGCAACTAGCTGGCAAAGCATTCCTAAGTTTGTACTTTGACACAACAGAAGAGAGGGGACGACTCTTCTTCCGGCTACCAAGAGAACCAGTCACCATCAAGCCATTAGCTGCCTGCACTCCGAGCAGCGACGGATTTCTTGCTCTCCTCCTACGTGAGCTGCGACTTTTCCGGACACCACGGCTGTAATGGCTATTTCTGGGTTGAGTGCTTTTGACAGTCAGCCTCGAAGGTCTAAATGAAGGATTCAACATGGGCCTGTTCTCAGAAACATCAGCTCCAGATGCGAGTTCAATTTGAGGAATCTTGACACTAAGAAATAACTGATCTATTCCATCTTCATCTTCACTCATCATTTCGTCACATTCCTCGGCAGGCTTATTTGAAGGCACACGAGACACCCTCAGTACCCAATTCAGATGCATTTCCATAAACCACGAAGGGATTACAGAAAAGTCCAAATCAAAAGATGGCACCGAAGTCGCAGAATCAAAAAAATTGCAAATTCCACTACTTGCACCTGATGGATCCTGGAAAAGGCGCAGGCAAAAATAATTTACTAACCTTGAATCTATTAACATCATAACAGCATCTACAGAGACCAATATATAACAACGAATCCTAGAAATCATGAGAAAAGCAAAGCAAAAGCCAAAATAGCCAAAAAAAAACCCACAATTTGGAAACCACAGAATTCACAATTCATCAATTGTGAAATACATAAGAGAAGAATAGAAGACAGGATCCCAAGATAGAGGAAGACGGCTTACCTTCAAGAACCGGATCCCATTTGAAGCAAAAGTACAGTTGAGGGGCTCAGAGAACAAGAAGCCAGCAAGTTCAGACAAATCCACACCAACGTTCTTGATGTGCCACAAGATTGAAGTCAGGAGAGAAGCTGCCACAGTACCAGAATTCTGTACCACAGCAACGAAGGCACAGGTCTGAACTTCAAGAACACAATCAGCTCCCTTCTTCCTTGCCTGCCTCCGTGAGAATTGAATCCCAAACAACTTATTACCGGAGCTTTCTTGCTTCTCGATACTCCCTCTCTTCCTCTTCCTTGCGTAAACAATCCCAAACCTCTTGTCAATTAAGGCAACCCGATCCTCTATCATCGCAACCTTGCCGGACTTGGAAGCCGCTTTCTTCACCTTCTTGACTTTCTTGACTGCCAGACGAGCTCTTTTCACCCTTCTGGGCGCTTCAATTTCACTGATATGAACAACACTTTCAGAAGCTTTCCTTTTGAGCTTATCATTATTGGTGGCACCATTTTCATTGCACTTGTGTGGGTACTTCTTGATACTATGGTGCAGCGACTTGTCTTCTTCGTCGTCTTTAACCCTCCTGACCTGCCGCTCCCCGGATCTGGGGGAAAGTCGCCGGCCGGACCGCAGAACCCGGACCGAATCGGCACCTTTAACCATCCCAATCACCCTCGTCCCCCTGCGAATCTCCCCGGACGGCATAATTGCTGTTCGGTTACGCTGGTTCAACCCAATTCCGGAAGCGCCGACCTTATCAGCCTTCAATTCACTAAGCCTCCAGCTCACTCTCCGATCAGACTGACCCAGTTTCCTAATTTTACCTCCGAGTTCCCGACTGCGAACTTTGCCTGAACCCAAAACGGAACCACTCCTAGTACTTGGACTCATTATCCAAATTCTGTCGGAGAAACTCCATACCCGTCAGAAACCGACTCGAACCACCTGAGTTACTCCGACATGAAGAAGGTCCAAAGAGCCCAAATTTCGAACCCCCAATTCTCTAACCTAAATCTAGAATCCTAAAACACGACCAATTCACTGACAACAGAACCGCGCCCTAAAACCCAAAAAGTAAAAACCTTCGACTCGTTATACAAACAAAATTCTACATGCGCGTATCAACACAACAGTCGAACCCAGAACTTCCGTTTCCAATTTCTCTTTACAAAGAGAGAAAAAGGCAGATCCTTTTTTTCTTATGGCTCCTCCAGAGATGGGCAGATCGAGAACCAAGTTTCACGAAGCCGTCCAAAAAATAGTCATCAGCGTAGTCATGGGCAGCTGCGGCTGCGACGTTGACGGAAATCAAGAGCAGGGAGAGGAGGCGAAGCGGTAGGTTGGGGGGGAAGGAGAAGGTGGCGGGCGCTAGGGTTTATGATGGATAGAAAGGAACCACTGAGGAAGAAGAGAAAGAAATTAGGGTTAACAACTGTGCCGAGCGATAACAACCGTTGGATTGAGAATCGGAGGGCTGGGATTTCTCGGGGATCCGAATAGAGACCGGGTGGGTAGATGGATCCGGGAAATTTAGAGGGAAACCGAAACGATTGGGCGGTTGACAACAGTGCAGGCGGATATTATTTTGGGGAATCTTTTAAACTAGGTGGAATGACGAAAAGGGGCTTGGTGATGTGACGGGAGATGTGGGAAAAAGCTGAAAAGCGGAGAGGGGTATTTTTGGGAATCCGCGAAAGTTCAAACGACAGCGAGCGGCGACCAAAAAGAAAGCGCACCCGACCCGACCGTAGACGGAAAACTTGTCGAAGAAGATTTGAGATTAACCCACTAAAAAGACAAAAGAGAAGTTTTTGTTTTTCGATATTTAAAGGGTAAATACAATTTAATATCCAAATTTTTCATTTTAAACAATATAATAGCCAAATCTTTTTGAAAACAATTTAACATCCAAATCGTCAATTTTTCGTCTGTTTGACCGTTGGTTGACACTTCAAAAAGGGTTTAATTGCAAGTTTGGTCACTCGAATTGCTACAAAATTTCACGTTTGCCACTCAAATTAATTTATTCCATTTATAGTCACTTAAATTAGGTTAACAGTCCAAGTTTGGTCACTGACCGTTAGTCTCCGTTAACTTTTGCTGATGTGGCGGTCAACTCTTATAGTTGACCGTTAAATGAGTGACGTGGCGATTAAAAAATTAATAAACTAAAATAATTTTTTTTATTTTCCACCTAATTATTATAAAAATAAAAATATACCTAATTCCTTTTAATTGTTATTTTCCACCGCCCGTAGCAGTTCCTCTCCCCTCAGGTCGACGACCTCTCCCGGCCGGCCAAGCCCCGCGTGGTGGAGGAGAAGTAGGCGGAGGAGGAGGTGGTGGAGCGGTGGCTTCGTTGGACGCGTAGTCGTTTAACCCAAAATGGAGAGAATTTTTACAAGGACGTCGAGATCGTCGTGGATAGGCGTGTCGATGTCGTCGAAGAGACGGTTGAGGTTGCCGGAGGACCAGCGGAGGGTGACTGTTCCGGTGAACATGGACCACAATGCCAAGAGAAGAATGGCAGCTAAGGCCTAGAACTTGTACCTGCCTTTCCCGAAGAGAGAGGAATCGGAGGTGTCCTTCTTCAACAAGCTGCCCGTCGCCGTCGATGTTGGAAGAGAATCGTCATCCTTCATCTCGATTCTGCTCCGATCCGGATGCTGGAAATTTTCTCTGGCTCCAACCGAATCGATCGCAAATGGAAAGTGTCAGTATCGGAGTTTGCCCAGAAACTCGAACCCAAACCCTCCGGCGCCACCAAACAGCAAGGAGGAGGAAGAGTTGTCGCCGTTGTTGCCGTCGATGTAACCACTCGAATACTGACTCCCCGCCCTTGCCTCCTCCCCGTCGTCGCACTCTATCGTCAGTGGCGGTAGAAGGGGCGTCTGCGTTGGCAGCGGGAGCTTATTGTTGTTGGTGCTGCTTTTTCGGTTGGGCGGGCGTGGGTGGTTGGGTTTTCCGGTGAGGCGCTGGACGAGCTCCCTGAAGTTGGTTGCGTCGGTCTTGATGATCTCCGGCGCAAATATGTGGATGATGCGGATCTTGGGCGGCTTCGGCTTACTGTTGTTGTTGTTGTTGTTGTTGTTGGAAATCAGCCGCGAATCTGGATTGCTTCCTAGTCGTCCCCGGGTTGGCGAGGGAATAACAGATGTGGGAGAAGGAAAAGGCGAGGAGGAGGAAGATGGACTACTACTGTTGCAATTGGGGCTCTTCATCCTAGATTGTCACAAAGGAGAAGAAGGGAGTTCGCTCACAGGGATGGTGAAATATATACTACTGGGATCCATCATCTGCTTTCTCGTACATTTATTATTGCTTATATATAACCCAAAATGAACACTGCAAGGTTAAACGACTATGCGCCCAACGAAGCCACCGTTCCACCACCTCCTCCTCCGCCTACTTCTCCTCCACCACGCGGGGCTTGGCCGGCCGGGAGAGGTCGTCGACCTGAGGGGAGAGGAACGGCTACGGGCGGTGGAAAATAACAATTAAAAGGAATTAGTTTTATTTTTATTTTTATAATAATTAGGTGGAAAATAAAAAATAATTAAATTAAATTATTTTATTTATTTTTAATCGCCACGTCACTCATTTAACGGTCAACTATAAGAGTTGACCGCCACATCAGCAAAAGTTAACGGAGACTAACGGCCAGTGACCAAACTTGGACTGTTAACCTAATTTAAGTGACTATAAATGGAATAGATTAATTTGAGTGGCAAACGTGAAATTTTGTAGCAATTCGAGTGACCAAACTTGCAATTAAGCCCTTCAAAAAAGCTTTGTTTAGGGAAAATTGTCACAATACAACTTTGTTTTCTTGTTTTGGCATTGCAGATGACTGAATATTTAGATATTCTATACCATCATGGTGGAGTCATGAACTTCTCGGGTTTGGAACCACGATATGTTGGTGGTTTTTCAGAGAAGATATCGATGGATATTGATGAAGCGTCGTACTTTGAACTTTTTTGAAGTGTCAACTAACGGTCAAACGAACGGAAAGTTGAATATTTGGATATTAGATTGTTTTCGAAAAGGTTTGGATATTATATTGTTTAAAATGAAAGGTTTGGATATTAAATTGCATTTACCCAAAATTAGTTTTTAACTGTTCCGAAGAGTGAAAACTAAAACGGAACGGGAAGGGATTTTATTGGGTAAATGTCATATTTGGTCACTGAGATTACTAAATTGTGTCATGTTTAGTCACTAAAAAAAACTAATATCAATTTTGGTCACTCGAATTACTGAAACATGTTACATTTTTTTCGTGGTCAAATGTGACTTGTTTCAATAATTCGTGTAACCAAAATTGATATTAAATTTTTTTAGTGACTAAACATGATACGATTTAGTAATCTCAGTGACCAAATGTGACATTTACCCCGATTTTATTTGGGCATTGCTATTCGTCACCCTAAAATACCTTACTCGTCGCCCTAAATTTTATCGAAATGACTCAAATATCATTAGTTTAATATTTGTAATACCTAGTTGCCGGTATTATTGAGTGGGATGGTGATAGATTTCTCCCTAGAATGTTCTTCGACGCCTTTCTTTCTAGAAATCACGATCCCTCGGCTTTACATGTATGGCTGATTTTACTGGAACTAATTGTTGCTCGTCATTTCAATTCTTAAGGGGTCAGTTTGGAACTCTTTCTGAAAAATTGTATGGATTGTGTTCAGTTGATTTCTATTGGAAACTCTAACTCTAAACCTCATGAAGTAAGCTAAGAAGAACGGAAATTAAGTTAATTCAAGGCGTTTCTCACTGGGAATGGGATTATGTTGTTGGAGAGAAGGTTTCTACCAACTCTTGACAAAAGGAGGGCTATGGGTCGGAGTGAAGAATCCGGCAGCAGCAGGAGGTGGGAGGCGGCCTCCTTTTTCTCTGTCTTCTTCCTCCTCCGGCTAAAAGCAGAGCATCGGCTGGGGTCGGGTTGAGGTGGGCAATTGTCGGGGAGAAGGATCCGACAGCGGCAACAGCGCCCGGAGGACCGCAGTGCTCGGCGGCGGATGGGCAGGGTATGAAATTGTTTGTTTAAGGTTTTGATTAGAAATTGAGGCCAAAGGGTAAAAGTGTCAATTTGAAGCATTTTAGGGCGATAAAATTTAAATTTTAGGGCGACGAATAGCAATCCAGTTTTATTTTACGGGATCCATTAATCAATCTTCAAAATGGGCTAGAAGGACTAATAATCCAATACACTAAGCAAAGACGGAGATGGGCTGTCGATCCAAATTACTTAATGGGCCCAAGAAAACAAACACAATGGCCTAGCGTGCGGGCCACTTCATGTACAATTGGATTTGGTTGCAGGTTACCGTTTGTTGGTAGAGAGAGTAAGGTAGAGAGAGTAAGGCGGACTCGTTTGGTAACTCGTAAAACTATCCTTATCTTTGGCTCGGGTTTAGAAGTGCTTTTCGGTTTCAATTGTCGAAGCAGGGCCAAACACCTCTAAAAGCTCGGCTTTTGAAAAACCGAAAAGCGCTTTTGTATAACATAAAAGCAGAAGCTCCAATCAGAGCTTCTGCGAAAAGCTGTTTTGAAAATACAAGATTATCCTTCCCATTTTTTAATTTTATTTCATAAAATATAATTTTCCCTCATTTATATAATTTTAAAAATAAAATAAATTATAAAATCATATTATTTAATATAAAAGAAATCTAACAAGATCTGTTGGGGGGTATTACAAAGGAACATGTCCAAGTAAAAGCTCAATGTAGCTCATTGGAGCAGTGGAAAGCAAACCCCACATTTGGGCCCAGAAAGGTGGGACTCTCTCACTAAAACTTATAGTTTCATACTTCTCTCTCTATATTGGAAACTATCTGGAGTGTCGGAGAATTAATGGGCCCAGGCGCCCCCCTCAGTGCGTGTGTGTAGGTCAGGCACCAAAGGATTGACTAGCAGGACCAAGGCGCACCAAGGAGCGGGCTTCAAGTGCGTGTGTGTAGGTCAGGCGCCTAAGGATTGGCTAGCATGACCAAGGCGCACCAAGGAGAGGGCTTCAAGGTGAGGCGCCAACAGAGCGTTAAGCAGGAATCGGGCGCTCAGAAGATCAGGCTCCAAGGTGAGGAGCCTAAGGTGTGACCAGTAAGGCGGATGTGTTTGGGCACAAACAATTGGCGCGCCAGGTAGGGGTCGAACCTATGACCTTCTGTTTAGGAGGCGCCTATGAGTGGAGGGGGAGAGGAGATTACGGAAGACCAGTCTGAGCGGGTGCGAGGGCTGATGCCCGAGATGGACGAAGGTGAGGAGAGCGATGGTAAGTTTCGAGGGTCGGAAGGCGCCTCGGTCACAAAAAGAGAGCTGTTTAGGATCATCGAATATCAGGAAGAGGTTATTAAGTCCATGCATGGGGGCCAACTCGAAGGCAAAATAAAAGCACCAAAGGTTGTAATTCTACCCAGTACTTTAACAAATAAAAATCAAGTCGCGACTCCCGTGTACTACAAATACAAGGGTAAGAGGTGGGTGCCTTATTTTACAAGAAATGCCTATATTATGTGAAACCGAAAGCATAAACTTCATGGGATAAGCCCACCTATGCGTCTTCTACAACAACAACAACCACAATTTGCCAAGGAAGCTTATACATGGCGCCTCAATACCACAAGTCAAGCGCCTACATCACCTGAGTTCAATCTTGGACTTGAAAATTCGTAGCAGGCGCCTAGCCTTGACCCTGTAGGAAGCATCAACTTGGGCTTCACCACACTCAAAACAAAGCTAAATTTGAAAGACGTTTTAAGGGAAATTGGAAAGAGGGAGGCATTACGCCACTAGTCGGCATCGCCAAGTTGGAGGCGTAGTAGGCAGGGGTAAGAAGAAGATGAACATATGAGGCACCCATTGGAGATGAGAAAATAAAAAAAGAAGCGATGAGGCGTCTGATTTCCATCGAATAAATTTTATTGTATAGTTGGGCGAGAAGAACTGAGGAGGAAGAGTGGTGGTGACGCTTGAGAAAATTCAAGTGGGAGAGGGAGAGGAAGAGGAAGCGCATCGCACAAAATAAAGAAGGAAAAAGAGGCGCTTTCAAAATTAAGAAAGAGAAGGCTTTGTGCCACGACTGATTGGCGTCACAAAGCTAGAGGCGCAATAGTGGGACATTTAGAAAGAAGGAAAAAGAGGCACCGAGTCCATCTGCTCGACACAAGAAGCCCTATATTCGTCACATCATGACAGGCGACTCTAACCCAACATGGGCTTCAACATTGAATCACGCGCCTATACTAGTGGACAACTATGAAATTCTCATTTCACCGGAGGCACCTATAATTAAAAGAGCATTTCAAGTTAGCCTAACGTCTGGGCACTCATCTCCTATTTGGGCTCGATGCCTCCCTGTCTGGTTTAAAAGAGGCCTTAAGCGCCTAATTTCATTGAGGTGCCCATTTCATCTATGAGCCAGATGTCTTCTCCTATTTTTATCTTGAAATTTGGGAGCAAGTTTAAAGCCCAAAACAAAGAGGCTCGTTAAGCCCAGGTGCTCAGTTCGAAGCCCAAGAGAGGTTGACACGACTTATTAAAGCCCAAACGCTCATACCTTCTAAAGAAGAAGGGCGCCTACGCCATCAGGCTAAGTTACAAGTTGTTGTCATCTATTCGTATGCGTCATTATTTCACTTAGGAGCCTCGCAAGCGTTAGCATGGGCTTCGCCGCGGTTGGCATGAGCTTCAACACATTCAAACCAAGCTAAGTACTTTGTTTTTTCATGAAATTTGGTGTTACCTCCACGATATATCGCTTTGTTTTGAAATGTTTGGTGCGCCCTAATAAAATCTTTTGTTCGAAATACATAAAGCGCCCGAAATATAGCGCCCTTGATTGGAAATACTCTCCACACCCAAATCTAGCGTCCTAATATTTGAAAGATCTCTAAGGGAGATGTAAAGCGCCCGTAATACACAAAGCGCCCCGCAATACCTAAAGCCCCCGAAACACTAAAAGCACCCGGAATATCAAAGTTGTCGAGATAGAATGTTACGTGGCACTCCAAGCCTCAAGTTTACACAATTGAAGGGAGGCATTTTATAGGTGTCTGTTTCGAGAGTAAGGATGTTGGGTCGTGTGTCTTGCAAAAAGAGGCGCCTGTCATGAGTTAGCAACGTATGCAACGGTCAGGCGCCTGTCACGAATGTGACGATGAACGAGAGGAGGAATTTTGCAGGCGCCTGTTTCAAAAGTAAGGATGTGGGGCGTGAGTCTTGCAAAAGGAGGCGCCTGTCGTGAACGAGCAACATATGCAACGATCAGGCGCCTGTCACGAATGTGACGATAAACGAGAGGGGGCATTTTGCAGGCATCTCATTTGAAAGTAAGGATGTGGGGCGCGTGCCTTGCAAAGGGAGGCGCCTGTCATAAACGAGCAACGTATGTAACGTCAGGCGCCTGTCACGAATGTGACGATAAACGAGAGGGGGCATTTTGTAGGCGCCTGTTTCGAAAGTAAGGATGTGGGGCGTGTGCCTTGCAAAGGGAGGCTCCTGTCATTAACGAGCAATGTATGCAACGGTCAGATGCATGTCATGAATGTGACGATAAACGAGAGGGGGCATTTTGCAGGCGCCTCATTTGAAAGTAAGGATGTGGGGCGCGTGCCTTGTAAAGGGAGGCGCCTGTCATAAACGAGCAACGTATGCAACGGTCAGGCGCCTGTCATGAATGTGACGATAAACGAGAGGGGGCATTTTGCAGGCGCTTGTTTCGAAAGTAAGGATGTGGGGCGTGTTCCTTTCAAAAGGAGGCGCCTGTCATGAGTTAGCAACGTATGCAACGGTCAGACGCCTGTCACGAATGTGACGATAAACGAGAGGGGGCATTTTGCAGGCGCCTGTTTCGAAAGTAAGGATGTGGGGTGTGTGCCTTGCAAAGGGAGGCGCCTGTCATAAACGAGCAATGTATGCAACGGTCAGGCGCATGTCATGAATGTGACGATAAACGAGAGTGGGCATTTTGCAGGCGCCTGTTTCGAAAGTAAGGATGTGGAGCGTGTGCCTTGCAAAGGAGACGCCTGTCGTGAATGAGCAACGTATGCAACGATCAGGCGCCTGTCACGAATGTGACGATAAACGAGATGGGGCATTTTGCAGGCGCCTCATTTGAAAATAAGGATGTGGGGCGCGTGCCTTGCAAAGGGAAGCGCCTGTCATAAACGAGCAACGTATGCAACGGTCAGGCGCCTGTCACGAATGTGACGATAGACGAGAGGTGGCATTTTGCAGGAGCCTGTCCCGAAAGTAAGGATGTGGGGCATGTGCTTTGCAAAGGGAGGCGCTTGTCATGAACGATCAACGTATGCAGCGCTTAATTGGATATATTGCGCACCTAACTGGGGAGCAATTGTTGGGGGTGTAGAGAAAGCACAATTTTGATAAAGTGAATATTAAATTTCGGGTGCCTATCGTAAAGTTGTTAATAAAAGTTGGGGGCGCCTGGCGTAAAGCGGTCACTGAATATCGGGGCGCGTTGGGCGCCTCTCACCATGCAACGTATCTCGCAACGGTCGGGCGCCTGCCATAAAAGGGTCATTGAATGTAGGGGCGTATATTTGGCAGAGGTAGGGCGCCCGTTATGAATAAGTCAATAAACGTGTGGGGGGCATTTAACAAACGTCTTTTCCAAAAAGAGGCCTATCCAGAATGATTCAATAAATTTGAGAGGGGGGGGGGGGGCATTGAGCGGGCCCCATATCGAGGAGACTTGTGTGAAAAAAGTCTATCAGAGAAAAAAGATATAGGCGTACCACTGTGGAGGTAGTTAGGCACTCAAGATACCAAGTGTTGAGCGCCTAACTGGGGGGCAATTGTTGGGGGGTATTACAAAGGAACAAGTCAAAGTAAAAGCTCAATGTAGCTCATTGGAGCAGTGGAAAGCAAACCCCACATTTGGGCCCAGAAAGGTGGGACTCTCACTAAAACTTATAGTTTCATACTTCTCTCTCTATAATGGGAACTAACTTGAGCGTCGGAGGATTAATGAGCCCAGGCGCCCCCTCAGTGCGTGTGTGTAGGTCAGGCGCCTAAGGATTGGCTAGCAGGACCAAGGCGCACCAAGGAGCGGGCTTCAAGTGTGTGTGTGTAGGTCAGGCGCCTAAGTATTGGCTAGCATGACCAAAGCGCACCAAGGAGCGGACTTCAAGGTGAGGCGCCTACAGAGCGTTAAGCAGGAATCAGGCGCTCAGAAGATCAGGCTCCAAGGTGAGTAGCCTAAGGTGTGACAAGTAAGGCGGATGTGTTTGGGCACAAACAAGATCCATTTTGACGAATTTTTATTGTTCATAATTTTTATTCATATTTTATATTATAAGTCATTTATAGTCATTTTACACAACCTCTCATATTAAAAAGCACTTCTAATAGTTTTACAACCAAACACTCAACTGCTTTTTTTGAAAAGTACTTATCTAAAAGCTCCAGCCAGAAGTTGCTTATTCAAAAACTACAGCAGGACCAAACTAAGCTTATATATTTAACGTTTTGTATATTGAATGTCTCATTTATTCACTCCTCGTTACATTTCCTGTTCGTCTTTACGAATTGGGAATGAAAGTGCCAACGTATCCACATCCCGCGACAAAGAATGCGATGGATTGCATGAAAAGAAATATGAAGTAGCGGTTCTTTCCAAATGCATAATCGTAGCAACCACATATGAAGAGGTAAGTTGCTACTCCAAGCTCTAACCAATGGAGTTCAAGACAGGGTTTCCTGGTAGGTTTAACAGCTTGGTGGAGGTTCTGCGTCTTCCCATTTGCGACGTCGATCTTGGGAGCATCGCCTAGTTTTTCAGTGACGACCCATTCATTCACCCTCCCTACCTCCAACAATCCCATGAGCATCGCCTTGGTTCGATGCAGGGACATGACGTTCTCGAACAGAACCCAGAACCCCACCAGGTGGATCGACCTGGTGGGAGTCCCGACGACATGGAGCAAGGTGACGATTGTGGGGAGGTAGACGGATGCCCATTTTGGAACATGGAGCTCTGAGATCAGAACGGTGGCTGGCATGATGAAGCAGTAGAAGGAGAAAGTGAGGATGTGGCTAATGATCTTCCTGACGAGGAAGAAGCTGTAGATGAGATGGAACTTCTTCCAGACTGATACCCTCTGCAGCAACAACATTCATCGAGTCAATGGAGGGAACATCGAGTGAAAAACAGATATGGAAGACGATAGAGGGGGGCATGAGAAGAAGATGAAAGCTAATGGCTAGAGAGACCTTTGCGGTGAGGATCTGAGGGCCCATTTTCCTGAAGAGATTTGCAGGACCGCAAGACCATCTGTGTTGTTGATTCCTATAGGCTTTGAAGGTGCCGGGAAGCTCGTTCTTCACTCTGACGTCTCCAAGATAGAGGAACTTCCAACCTTTGAGACCGGCTCTTACCGCTAGATCCATGTCCTCCACCGTGGTCCGGTCTTTCCATCCTCCAACTTCATTCAGAGCCGATATCCGCCATACTCCAGCCGTCCCTATTTGCACATTACAGTTAAAATTGTTAGTAGGTGGTAATTCATTATCCAACTTCTACTAATAACTCAAGTTATTGGAACAATTGACATGATATAAGAGTCTCTTGTAACAGAGAGGTTTTCTGCTCGATTCCAAGTAACCTCATTGGTAACACATGGTGTCTGATGTCTGTTAAAAGTTCAAGCCATGGTTGTCACGTCGGCCGGCGTGCCACTGGTTGAACCTGGTTCAACCTGTACTGGTCATAAAACCGGTATGACACCACCGGTATGACCGGCATGATTGATATACGAATCTCTAAGTAAAATGATCTTATATTAGTGAATTTATTTGATAAAAAGTAACTTATTATTTATTTTATGTGTTAAAAAGTTAAATGTTGATGTTATTTGTTGGATTCAAGTACAAATATTTAGGTATTGACGTTAAATGTCGTGCTTAAATATGAATATTTATAAATTATTTGTAATATTAACCGGCATGAACCGGCACAAACCAGTATGTACCACCGGTTGAACCATTCCACTTGCTAAACCGACACACTGGCACAAACCGGTTTGACAACCTTGGTTCAAGCCCACACATGAACGGGTTTCGTTTGAGTAGGTGTGTCAGTAAGTTGTATAAGATCCATTATTGAACCACTCTCAATACCAAACCTATCATAAGACAATTGGTCTCTATAACAAGATTTGGTAGGAGAGATCCATGTATGCTACTTGACCAATTCTTTACATGCTCCTCAACAAAAAGTCAAGTCACAGGTTTGAAGTTTGCACACGTCCGTCGTACGTATACCATGTACTTGAAAGACAACGATTAATATTGAGAGTCGTGAAGGCTTTAACACACGATCTCAAAAAACAACCAAACTCTTATACCATGTCACAAATTAACTCGATCCAATAACTCGAATTCTTGAAAGACATTCATTCATGGGACAGAAATATATATAGCTGTTGATAATAAATCGTAGTACCGTTGAAGCCAAAGAAGGCGTAGGCAGAAGAGCCTGCTTGTTGCTCAATGTTGAAGTGGTAGTCCAGTGACATCTCTTGCATTCTGGTCAACAAGCATTCATCCGCATTCACTGTGTCACGTTTACACATATGCATATTCATTGTTTGGTACATTTCATCCATCATAGTTAGTAGGTACGTGATATAATATTCATTACTGAACCTCTTGTATTAGTATGTGATGTAAAATTTGTCATTGAATTCCTCCTAACAACTCGAATTATTAGAATCAAATAGCAGTACGTACTATTGCGTAGTACGTACCGAAGCTCCAGCGAGACTGGACGAGGGCAATGTCACGATCTTGCACGAGCGAAGGAACGGTGAGGCGGAGGAAGTTGGGTTCCGGCTGGAAGTCGGCGTCGAAGATGGCAACGTACTCGCACTGTTTCACGTAGCCGTGCTTCATCCCTTGTTTCAGGTTCCCAGCTTTGTACCCGATTCGATTCTCCCTCGCTTCGTACTTTACGTTTACGCCTTTGCCTTCCCATCTCCTACACTCTGTTTTCACCAACCTCTGCCGCCATGCATATATGCAATGCAAACTCTGTCAATCATCATGCATTCAAATGCAATACATCATTTGTTACATTTGGGCAAGGTATACGCTTACCTTAATGGCGGGGTCGGTGGAGTCGTCGAGGACTTGGACGATGAGGCGATCGGAGGGCCATGATAGCCCACACGCCGCTCCAATCGAGAGTTCATACACCTGCACGTCTCGGTTAGGTCAAGCGCATCATAGAAATTAGGGCCGGCAAATGGTGCAGTATGGTACAGACTGGACCATATATATACGGTTTGCGGTCCAGATCAAGATGTCAAAACATAGACGAGAGATCAGACCAAATATTATACGGTCCAATAAACAGCAAATTAGAGCAACTCAACTTCCATTGTAACATCATAAACCTTAATTAACATAATGTCATACAGAGATGTTATCGTCTCTACTTTCAGGTAGAGTGCGATTTTTTGAATGAAGGGGAAGACGTGCTCCAATAACCGAGGGTTGAGACCTGGGCCTCCCGTTGGAGACGGGGAAAAGTGGTTGCTGGGTAGTGATGGCAATTTGGACCCGTCCCGCATGTATTACCCGACCTGATCCGCGATGGTGGGGGTATTACCCGATGTGCAGTAGCGTGGGGATGATTATTGGTATCTACTGCCGAGCCTCCTTGCCCCGCCCCTCCCCTTTCTTGGTCAATTCTATCTCAATTTCTTACAGTATCTATACATATTTCTCCTATTTTGACTTTTCATCACCTAGTTAGAGTCGTTTTTCAACTTATTAGACTCAATTAAAACTCATTATATTATCACTATTTTTCATTTATAAAGTGTTTCCCCCTTCGTGTCACCGTCAAAAGTAAAATTTGCGTGTATTTTTTTCAAATAACATGTAAGAGCTGGTCGACTCGCCCCCGACCCGCACTAGCGTGGGGTGGAGGCGCGGAGCATGGGTGTTAAGGTACCCGCCCCGCCTCGCCCCATTGCCATCACTATTGTCGGGTCTATTAACACAAATTTGGAAGTGGGTTGGGTCCAATGTCAGGTGGTGATAAACCACAAGGTCTAGACAAGACCAGACCAAACCAGGAAAGCAAATAAACAATATCCCACCGTACAAACCATAGACCAAACCAAATCATTTTTAACGGTCTACAATCCAAACCACATTAAGCAATCCGGTTTGGTCCATGATTTTTCAAACAATCTGGTATATTTTCCCCGGACTATAATACAATAAAAATCGTCAATCACAAAACCATGCAATACTAGCTAGCTAGCCTCACTACTTATTGTTTTGGTCAGTTGATGAGTTACCTGTTTCTCGTTGTACATGGGGATTTGGACGAGGACCATGGGATAATATTGATGATGATTAGCTTCCAAATCATAATCAATAATGCCCCGGTGATCACCATCACCTTTCGAAGCCTGAAACGACTCATCATTGTGTATCCGTGCAGCTGGCTTCCTGATCAGGAGGAGCCGAATGATTTTAACAGAAGCAACCACAGCTGCTATGTAAAGCTTCTCCAAGAACAGCATTATCGACATGGCCAAGCACAGTTTGACCACCACCTGCAGCACCGGCACCACCGCCGCCGCGTCCATGATGTCGGCCGGAGAACGCGATCCACTTAATGAGTTCCTGTATCAAGAGCAGTGGAGCTGCTAGCTAGCTGGTTATGGCTAGCTCTAGTTAATTATATATGTGTACATGTATGAAAGCGTAAAGTTGCGGGCTAGCAGCTGGTAACGGGACAAGATCGGATGAGTGTTGTTCTTAGGATAATTTATCTTTTTTATGGCTTTCGAGCTACGTTTAGGAAACGTGTGGGAGGGAAATGGGACTGAGCTAGTGGTATATATGGTCACTGCTCTAATCAAATAAACAAGTCGAGTATTGGGAAACGTTTATTGTAATGTGTAATTTCATTAATTTGTCTCGAGAATTAATTAAGTTGATGCAATAACTCGAAGTTTTTGGAAAGATTTTCAATTATAGATGGTGTACGTATTACGTCTTACTAACACACACCCTCGAACGAAAACCAGCACATGTAGCGCTAGGGTTGGAGTTTGCACAAGTACTCGACCAATGGGTTCGCGGGAATTCGAAGAAGAAGAAAAAAAAAGAGCTTTCGGTCACAGAAAGTCTCCGATTACTCTAGTTTTTGGAAGAGATCCCAATCATTGATCATATACCACTTACTAACAGTTTAGACGAGGTCTATTCAAAACGAGAGGTTTGGCCATTTTTGGTTAAATCTCATAAACAAAAAACAAAACAAAAACCTAGATATTTTGTTGTCATGAACGTACTCTTCTGCTACCGCCGCGAGTTAGAATTAGGTGTTTGCTAGCCAAAAATCATGCTCTTCCGGTAACCTATCATTTAATTTAGGTTTAGACTCATGATTCAACCTCTTTTCTCCAAGCGTATCGGATGTTATATTAGAAAAATTAGCAATATGATAAGTTATGTTGAAATCGTGGTTCCCCACCGTCACAGAAGTTAAAGCACAAAGTTAAAAAAAAAAAAAGAAGCCCAAAACAATTATCCACACAAACCGCTAAAACAGCAAATCATGGGTATATTATGAGTCCTAATCCTATACCAAACATCTGCAGAAATTCCATGTCCGAAGCTTGCTGATCCCTTTTAAAGGAACTTCAGGACAACGTCAAACAAGAAAGAAATAATGGAGGTCTCTTCTTGTTACAGCAACAACGACAGGGTTCTCTCGTACCACACCCAAAAACAGTTGCCTGTCACCAAGAACGGTCCCCATAAACAGATGAAGTTATCTCTATCTGAGTTTTTCCACACAGCTAATCATTGCTATTCCAGTCACCTAAGGAAGCTTCTGTGGAAAACCCTTCAGAGCGTAATTCAGGTATCAATATCATACTCATTCATTTCCAGCAGACTAGCTGCAAGTCTGTAACCATCCAGCCAAGCAAGGGGGAAAAAGAATGCTTTCCGCCATTGCTGCTCTGGAGAAGGTATCCTTGTGACCAAAAAGAATGGGAGGGTAAGTATGATTGACATGAACACTTCCAGATAATGGTGATGTAGATGATGATAGTTTCAGTCTCACAAGGCTTCAAGCACTGGAAGAATCTGCAGAGAACATGTGATCAAAGAATTATCAACAATCCAGTGTCTAAAATGCAGCATCAGATTGAACTAGGACTAGGATTGCAGAGTCCTGAGAGCACTGGAAGAAGGTAGAATACAGAACACGATGACCGAATGAGATCAAATTTATGCGCAAAGTGACGTAGAAAATTTCTCTACGCTTCAGAATGATAGCACTCAAATGCTTATTTGGTTAACACTAGTCATATATGAGTTTTCAGGCCAAAACATTGTTCGATAAAGCAAGTCCATCACAGGAAAAAAAGCTTCTGTTTGGTCCATGTAATACAGATAATGAGAGTGTAGGGGAAAAAAATGTAGGTATGTTTCAATGTTCAAACATAGAACTAACCGTTCCCACTAACTTTATTCCTGTGTTTTCTCTAAGAACAAGATTTATAGTGTTAGGTTACACATATGTTTTCAGGAGTAGAGATGGTTTGAAGCATCCCATTGTTCAAGTAATCAAGTCCAACATGCAATTTGCATACAGAAACTATAGAATATATTTCTTTCAAGACACAGTCGCAGAATTAAATTTAAATGACAACTTACCAGAAAGGAAACGTTAGATATGTTGATAGCCTTCAAGGAAACAAGCTCCAGGAGTCTCTCTCAGGTGTAGATACAAGAAACTCAGGTTCACAACTCTTCAAACTATGCAAAAGTAAAAAAGGTTTACTCAGAGTCAATAGACAGGGCCACTTGAACTTGGCAATTTGCTCGATAGTCCAAGAAGAGCCACTTCTCTCCAGTATGTCTTTCCCACTGCAATAACATTCCAGAAACTCAACTCACCATGGATCAACAAACATAGGTTTGTCCTCCTCCTTCCCATATAGACCCTCTAGGCGCAATGCGCTCCCTATGGCATTCAAGCACAATAGAAGGAACTTGGATGGGCAACCTGAGTTCCCACCAGCCTGCCTTTGACCATTGTGTTTGCTGGCATCTTTCTCCAGATGAATGGTGGTGCTTTCATGGCTATTCAAGCCTCCCTTTCCCGGAAACCCCCCAATATTCCATCATTCTTGCCCCTAGATTCTGCATTTGATGGAACACTATTATTTTCTACAGCCTTCCTCTCTTTCACTTGAGCCGGGTGAGTCTTTTTTAAGTCCTTTGAGAAATCACTTTTGCCACTCCGGTCATTGAAGGGGTCATCTGGAGTTGGAAGGCTAAAGCACATTCAGATACCTGGCAGCTTGATTGGCAAATTTATTTTTCAATTTGAAGGGTAGATAGTGAAGATGGAAAACCAACATAAACCAGCTAAATGGGAAGACTTGAAAGACATCTCTTCCAAGTAATGAACAACGATTCCAAGCTTGAAAGCGTAGATTTTTGCAAAGTTTGAGTCTTTTCAATCTAAAAGCTAAGTTGTAGATGTAAACAGTCCAAAGTCAGAGATAGGAAGTAGTAGCCCACCCCAAAGAAAAACACATTAACCACCATGGAAAAAACTGATTCAAACTGATTCTTCTAACTTCTACAGCTTCCAGCTCCCAAAGTTCCCAAGTAACAAATGCAAGAACGCGACAGAGATCACTGACATTAATAACACACGAAGCATTTGAGAAGAAACTTAGATTTAGGGTTTTGGGGAAGGGTTCTCAATAGAGAGCCTTCGTTTTCTCATTCCATTTATACTGCTGAGCTCATTTACAGAAGAAAAGAAGAAAATGTTTAAACGGCTACTATACAGTAAAAACAGAAAAACTACCATTTAACCTATCTAATGAAAGCTGTACACGTGTTGTGCAGTAACTATTTACAGAAGCCAATTGGAACGACAGCGTTCTAAATCAATGAACCAAGTCTTCTTGCTGACTTCGAGTGGATGAAGAACGACACCGTTCCGGATTGACAACCAAGAATTCTGCAGCAGCTCTACATCATAATCTTCAGGGGAGAACAAGCTGCTGCTAGTCTGTTCAGGGGTTGACCTGTTCTTCATTACGCCCCCTCAAGCTGGCGAGCATCTTCTGATACTCCCAGCTTGCTCAACAACATCTTAAACCGATCAACCCCTAGACTATACATCTGCAATCTGAAAAGTTGTAGACAGATGATGCAGACTAATCAAGCCATTCATGACCCTCTCTCGTATAACATGGCAATCAACCTCAATGTGTTTTGTCCTTTCGTGAAACACAGGATTTCTAGCAATATGAATTGCAGATTGATTGTCACAAAACAACACTGCAGGTTGAGAGTGATCAATGCCAAAGTCATCAAGCAACCTAATCAACCACTGCATTTCACAGCTAAGGTGGGACATTGCCCTGTACTCTGCTTGAGAGGAAGACCTGGACACAGTACTTTGTTTCTTGCTTCTCCAGCTTATCAAACCATCTCCTAAGAAAGTGCAGAACCCTGTGATAGATCTTCTAGAATCAGGACGTGTAGCCCAATCTGAGTCACTATAACCTGTTAACTGTATGTTGGAGTTGCTGGAATAAAATAAACCTTGGCCAGGTGCATTCTTAAGGTATCTGAATACTCTTTGTAAGGCCTTGAAATGGACTGTGGTTGGAGAATCCTGATACTGACAAAGTTGTTGTACTGCATAGGTAATGTCAGGTCTGGTTGTATTCAGATACTGCAATTGACCAAGTAGATGCTTGAATTTACTTATGTCATGGAATGGTTCACCATCTTGAGCAGAAAGAACCTGTTTCACACTTGAAGGGGTCTTTGCAGGTTTACAGTTATCAAATCCTGCTTCCTTTAACAACTCAATACAATACTTTCTTTGGCTTACATGTATCCCACCATCAACCTTATTGATCTCTAAGCCAAGAAAGTATTTCAAAACACCCAAGTCCTTAATCTTGAAGACGGATTTCAACATGTCCTTTACTGCCTCAACTGCTTTTAGACTGATACTGCCAATGACTATCTCATCGACATAAACAATGAGAACCACAAGTGAACCTTCCATAGTAGACAGAAATATGGAACAATCACCACTGGATTGTTTAACCCCATGAGACAACAGGGTTTCAGTAAGCTTAGCATACCACATTCTGCTAGCTTGTTTCAACCCATATAGGGACTTCTTTAACTTGCAAACCTTCCCTTTATATTCTGTTCTTTCCTTTAAACCAGGTGGCAACTCCATATACACCACTTCATCCAAATCACCATTTAAAAATGCATTATTGACATCCATTTGATGCAAATGCCATTGCTGAATTGATGCAACTGCTAACAGCATTTTGACAGATGTCAATTTTGCAACTGGTGAGAATGTGTCACAATAATCAATGCCATAAACTTGATTATACCCCTTAGCCACTAATCTGGCTTTAAATCTTTCAACACTGCCATCAGGGTGGTATTTCACTCGAAAGACCCACTTACAACCAATAGCTTTCATTCCCCCTGGCAAGTCTGTGATCTCCCAAGTCTGGTTGTCATATAAAGCTTGGATCTCCTCTCTCATGGCAGCTTGCCAATGAGGGTC